AAAGAACTGAGAGCAAGAGAGAGCACCCTCTATCCATGTTTGCCAGGTAACCCCCTGCTTCCAGTCACTGACAAATACAAAGAAGGGATTTGTCACTGTACTGGTGACTGAGTCCTGGCACTTAGTCATCTTCTCACGTGAGAGGGTTTCTCACAAGAAGGTAAGAAGCAAGAACAGCTTTGCTAAGAGTATCTGAAAGACCCAGACAGCAGAAGTAGCCACAACAGCAGCTAAATCCTAGATCTCTCAGGAAGACATAACCCTGGAGCAATCCAACTTGTCCTTCCTTCCCCCATTCCCACCAACACAAGAGGAACACAACACTTCTGGCTCCGCTCTCCCCTTATCCTACTATGTATCTTCAGCAGATTAAGTGGAAACTGTGGTGGGCCAGTAGGGGACACTCCTGTGCTGAGCCACCCACTTCACTGCACCTGCCAGGCTCCAAGTGCCTCCCTGGGGCGCCTCATGACCAGTGACTCCCTTCCTGAAGTACACCCATGAGCCTGGGGTCACTGCTGCCACCACCCAGGAGTCTCAGTCTGTGTACGGCCCTGTGCCCCCTGGGATACACAGGCCTTGTAGACCTTGAGGATGCTCGACCTGCTGCAAGAACTTGGGGTGCTTTCCTCGGCCTGGAGCACCACTAGGCACGCCCCTCTCCCTCTCCCAGCCAGTTTGCCATGCTTAGAATGATGGAGAACTTTATTGATTACAGGCAGTAGGTTTGGAGTAGGGTACAGGATAGAGCAATATCAAAGAATAACCTTAAAGCAAAAACATCTGCTGTACTGCAAGCTATATCTCTAGATTGGTTTCAAGTAGCTTACTCACAAGTATCATCCAGAGCCTGGTTGTTATCCTCTGGAGGCAGGCAGTTCATTGTGTCCAGTTACCAGAGAGAGGGAGTGAGTGGCAGCTGTTTAGCTGCTCTTCCCCCTGCCAGGAGCCTAGGGCTCCAGCATGGGAGCTCTTTTTATGCGTTCCAAAATGGCTCTCTCTCTTCCAGGAAGAAGGGACCCTATATATCCTTGTTATGACCTCACCACTAAGTTCCCACTAGAAGCAGTCCCGTTGGCTGATGCCTGGTGCTTTCAAGTGACCTCACTTTCCAGGTCCAAATCAGGCAGGTGTTCCTGATGCTAACCAAATCAGTTTAAAAAGTAATACTGGTCACCTAAGTGGTGTGGGCCCCTGCCCCCTTGCCATGAAGTAAGTGCCCAAACCATAGGGGCTAGGGTAACCCAGGCAACCAGGCTGACAGACAGGTGAGAGAACTAGTCACATGACCTACAGAGGTAAGAAACTGACAAGAGGAGCAGGTTCTCCCCTCCCCTAGGAATGTCCCCAGCCCAGGTCACCTGCCCTTACAGGCAGGCACAGTTAGTTGCCTAGCAACCGAGTGATAGACATATGGGGGCTGGGGGGGGGGGAGGGCAGACCAGACTAGCCCCAGAGTGAGGAGGATGCTGGAGCAGGGTTCCTCCACAGAAACCACACACTCCTCTGCACCCAACTCAGAGATACAAGCCTTCCTTGTGGGCACATGCATAACATGAACAGCAGGGCCTAGACTGTTGGACAGCAATGGTATACTCGGTGGCAAGACTGCAGCATACTCTAAGCACCCCACAGTCAATGTACTTTTGCAAGGCCAAAATGCTATGTTCTACCAGAGCCAATTTATCTCCCTCCCACTCCTTCAGTCCTTCCTTCACTCCCCACCTCCCAGTTCTGTTGCATCAGGAAACCTTTGGGTAACAGTTTCTTTCCACAGATGCAAACATAGCCAGTGAAACAGCGGTTTCCAAACTGTGGGTCATGACAACATCAGCGGACGGGGTCACAATAAACAGGGATCTGGAGGGCAGTGGCAATGTGTTGGAGGGGCAGGGAGGCTAAGGCAATGTGACAGAGGGTGACAGGGGTCCAACGTGATGTGGCAGAGGAGGCATGTGCCCCTCTGCCCCCCCCCCCAAGATTTCTGTACCCACAGTGGGGCGTGGGGCTGCAGCTGGGTTGGACCAGCTCTGAGCAGCAGGCACCTCTGCAGCCCAGTGACTGGGACCTGGCACGGGAGGGAATGCCGCACTGCCATGGCTGCCAAGGCGAGGTGCGGTAACAGCAGTGGGTAGGTGTGGCTGTGACCCTGTTACTGCCAGGCTGGCAGGAAGCACCTCAGTTTAGAGGGAGCCAGGCTCCATGCTCTGCCCTATCGCAGCAGCTGCTTCCTCCCACTGGTGGCAGCCAGGGCTTGGGCACTGCAGGCCCTGGCCCTGGGGCTCCTAGGAGGGTGATGGACTGTGGGCTGGGAGTGAGAGGCATTTTGGGGGGTTGAGGGCTGTGAGCTGGAAGTGAGGGGTCATGCTGAGGAAGTGGGGTCATGTTGAATAAAACTTTGGGAAGCACTGCAGTAAGACAAGATTAGGCTCAGAAGGTGCTCTCCGAGACTGGGAGCAGGGACTGCTCAAGCTGCAGTAGGGTTTTTGTCTTTGTTTTCCTATTGCTCCAGTGTAGAAAATGTCTTGATTAACATTTGATACAAGATCAGATATGCTCACATCCTCCTCTATAGCAGTTGAGGGCAGGGGAGGGAAGGCTATTCCCCATCATCTCTCACCCTATCTCAGTGTTAGTAAACTAAATTGCACTCTTCCTCTTTTATTGCAGAATCACCCCAAAGCAAAGGAGCAGAAAGGCCTGGAGAAGCTCTAGATAAGTTGTTCTCAACCTTCTTAGGCTCAAGTCATCCCTTGTTAGACCCGAGGCATCACTTGGAAAGTGCCAGCTCTTGCTTTTCACTTGTTTTCTTGACTGGAAAAATAGAGCAATTCTGTTGTAAAGCACTAAAAAAGCCCATACCAGGTCAGGATGTTTTTAGAACTATGGATTCCAATTTGAAATCTGCAAGTTGACCTTGTGAATAGTTTCCACACCTAACAGTGCTAACATTACATGGCACCCCTGAAAGGATCTCAGGGTACCTGTAGGTGCCAGGTACCAGGGCACGCTGGTTGAGAACAACTGCTCTAGACCCTCAAGGCCTTGGTGCAGTGCCCTGGTCTTTTGCCTGCATTGCTGAAAAAAGGTTGGTTTGGCTTTCCCTTCAGTGGCATCCCTCACAACAAAAGACATGCAAAACAGCTGCGAGGTAACAGAGCATGCTGCAAGCTGTGCACTCAGTCCAGGTACCCTGGAAGGCTTAAATTACATTTTACACAAGGGGAAGTAGGAATTTAGCATGAACTCAGGCCACAGCACTGTTTCAGTTCAAAGCTACCCAAAATTCTGTGCAGTGGGAGAGACAGGAGAACACTTAAGCCCCAGTCTGACATGGTGTAAGCTTTATAAGAAGCAGAAACCAATTAAATAAGGCAAAGTCCCCTAAAAATGAGATAGGCAAGCTCTGTACAGTTCCACCCACAATTCCTTGTAGCAATTCACTAGGTAAAAAAAAAGTCCATTGTTACCAGACTGCAACTCAGAAAGGAACTAAATATCAGGAGGTAAATAACCTAAAAGACATTGTAAACCAGGGGTCAACAAGGTTTTTGGGCAGCAAACCAAAAACACCCACAACCTTGACTTGTAAGATGTTGGTATGCCAAGGGCGGACAGTGAGGAAACTGCAAGGGGCCCAATCCTTGCTGTGACAGAGCAACCCCGGCCCCTTTCCTTCCGGCAAAATGCCTTTCTGTGCCACGCTCTGGCATGTACGCCAGTGGTTGCCTGTAAACAATTATTAGAAGAGGCTCCTAAGAGGTAGATTGTGACCTGAAATACCTGTCTATGCCAAAGGCAAGAATTCTGGTGGGCGATAACTTTCTCATGAGGAGGGCAGTAAAGCACTGGAACAGGCTACACAGAGAAGTTGTGGAATCTCCATCCTTAGACATTTTTAAGGCCCCAGACAGACAAAGCCCTGGCTACACTGATCTGCTTGGGGATGGTCCTGCTTTGAGCAGGGCATTGGACCAGATGACCTCCTGAGGTCCCTTCTAATCCTAATTTTCTATGATTCTATAAAGATAATACATTTCTGAAGAGCAGCAAGGCTTAATAGTTAAGGGCCTGAAATTCTGAAGAACCACAAATCATTAGATGCAGTGGGAACCAAGACACATTTCAGGCTGCCTAAGTGGATGGTACAGAAGGACTGTAACATGCACAAAGGACAATGCAGTCCAAGCTCTCTGTGAAGAAGGCCCCTTCATAATCTTTGGAGACTCCCCTAGGATTTCACATGCAGGGTACCACACGCCATTTGAACAGCAGCAGAGTAATGAACTAGGCACCC